AACATCCAAACCAGGAAAAATTAATAAAAGAAATGTGTGAATCATACATTTTTAAGTAGTGTCAGGTAAGAGAAGAAATGAAACTTACAGTGCAGTGTTAGAATTTTCCTGGAACAAGGAGGACGGTGAAAAAAAGATGGGGCTGAGATAACCCTGCTGAGTTTTGCAGAGACCCTTCAATGTGTTCATGTGTTCACTACATGTATGGACAGATCTGGCTAAAATCAACACAAATAATTGCAGAGAAAAAGCCTTACATTTCATCAGAGGGTAAACAACTTACCATCTTCCAGAAGACTGTGCTGGGCATGGCTATTAGAAAATTCCAATCTCAAAAATATAACCAACAAAAATACACAGATGCACCAAAAGACACATCCGTAGCAGCACTCTTTATAAGCCCCCAAACTGTAAATAACCCAGTGTCCACCAAAAGTTAGAAGAGTTGCAGCCAGGTGTGGAGATGCAGGACTGTAATCCCACCTAGTAGGGAGGTGGAGACAGAAGGATCACAGTCCAAGACTGGCCCTGGGAAAAAGACAGAGACAGTATCCAAAAAAATGAAGCAAAAAGGGCTGGGGGGTGTGGCTCAAGTGGAAGATCCCTTGCCTAGCAGGTGCAAGGCCATTATCAATAAAATAAAATAATAAAACAAAATGTGGAAGGGTTGGCTAGTGTGTGATATATGCACACAACGGAAATCTTTCAGTAGCAAGAGTGAATAAACTACAGCATGAATAAACCTTAAAATTGAAAGATTGAGTTTAAGATGCCACACACAAAAGAGTTAGCACTGCATGACTGCGATTACATCAAAGTAGAAATGACAGAATTAGTCAATGATAATAGACTAGTAGAGTGAGTGGGTCTTTGGGTAGAGGGTAGTGACTAGGAACGGGGCTAGTGGGGCTCTTTTTGGCTAGGAATCAAACCCAGGGCTTTGTGCATACTCCACTACCGAGTTCCACCCCCTTGAAAAACCTGGTGGGGATTCTTGATCTCGGTGTCTGTTACAGGAATGTATTCATTTTGTGAAAATTGACCAAGTGTGCCTTTATAATCTTTGTATGTTTTGCTTCAGTATCTTTAATTTTGCTTTACAATAGAAAAGGATTCTGCACACAAATCTATGCTCAATAATTTTAAAATTCAAATGATGCATCGAAATAATAGGAAAAAAATAAATACATTTTTTTGCATTACTGGGGATTAAACTGAGGGCTTCATGCTTGCTCGGCAAGGGTTCTACCACTTGAGTCACGATCCCATCCCTTTTGTTTTTATTTCCTTTTTGAGATAACGTCTTACTAACTTTGCCTGTGCTGGTCTTGAACTCAAGATTCTCTTGCCTCAATCTCTCTGAGTAACTGGAATTACAGGTGTAGTTACCATGCCTGGCTGAAAAAATATACTTGGCTGGAACTATCTCTGAAAGAAATGAAAAACCCAAATAAATCCACAGGAAACTGATACAGTAAGCAAATGTTATTTTCCAAGGAAAAATACCACTGGGAAGTCAATTTGTTGTAAACTCTTTTGAGTATGCAAGACACATCCTCCAATGTGACTTTGGGGTGGCTTTTTTTTTTTTTTTTGCTTTCTTCAGTCCTCACTGTAGAGGGAGAAGGAACAGATCTCCACAGGTTCCTCAACCCTGGCATGATCTCCCCAATTCTGGCAGCTGTGGGCCTGAGCTTGTCCTTCCCATCCTGCTCACACCCACGACTTCCTGTTGGGTTTTTACCTTTATTTTCATAGCTTGCCCTTCTCATTTACAGCTCAGAAGATAATTTTACTGTTTCTAGCACTGCCACTGTCCAGGCTGTGGGAAGGTACAGTGGACCAGTAGCCGGACAGTCCAAGGTAGGAGATCAGGGCTTAAGTTTCAGTCTCTTTCTCTCTCTCTCTTCAGGAGATTTGACTCAGAGTCCAGAATATGACCTTGAAGTGCCGAACTTGGTAACGGCAGGAAGGTCTGTGCATCTTTGTACCATGCACTGTTTTCTACCCCCAGTATTACTGGACAGAATCAGATCCAGCTTATGGCTACTGGTACAAGGAAGAATCTGTTTCTGGAAGGGATGCCCTAGTGGCTACAAACAACCCCACAAAGGAAGTGCAAAAGAAGACCAAGGGCGATTCCAGGTTGTTGGTGACCCTCACGCCTACAGCTGTTCCCTGAGCATCAGAAATGCAAAAAAGGAGGACACAGGGGCTTACTTCTTTTGAGTGGGGAGAGGTTATTACATGAAATACAATTACAAAAACAAGAAGCTGTGCTTGGTTGTGACAGGTAAGGCAAAGCCCAGGAAAGGTGCTTACTGTCCTTTTCCAGGGTCAGCGATGCTCTCACCAGTAAGTGGTTCACCAGAAGGTAAGGTCAGCTTCTGTCTCTCCTCCAGCCCTGAGCCAGACACCTGTGATGCATGTGCCAGCGATGCTGACGTTTAATTACTCTGGAAATGTGATTTTCACTGTACCGTGGGCCTGTGGAAAGGGGACCCCATCAAATTTCTTCTGGACAGCCGCTGGCATCAATTTTGTAGTCCTGGAGACACCCCGATTCTCAGTAATCACTTTCACACCACAGCCACATGACCACAGCACTAACCTCACCTGTCAGGTGACCTTCCCCCGAATTGGTGTAACTGTAGAGAGAATCATCCAGCTCAACGTGTCCTGGAAGTGCTGGGTGGGGACTTCCAGGTCCCTGAGGACAATTAATGGGTATCAGGAAGGAGAAGTACCCAGTCTGGGATTATTGATAAGTAAGATGTAGAGACCAGGCTGGGGAGGAGAATCACACACATCATTCCCTCCCCAGAGTCTGTTGTACCTTGGGGGATTAAAACCAATGTCTACACCCCACCTTCTGACAAAAGTAGGAACAGGTCTATCTTGCTTTCCTAGATGCACCACACTCAGTGACCATCACCATTTTCTGGGGGAACTGTACAGGTAGGAAGGTGTTGCGTTTCTGGGGCCATGGCGAGGGTGCAGTGCATTTCAGCTCAAGGAGGGAGAATCAAGTCAAAGCTGACATAAGCTGAGTTTAAATCTTATGTAACATTCAACTCTCAGTCCTTCCACTATGGGTTCTGGCTGTCTTTTGCTCTCCTTCCCCAATTGCTACTTGGTCTCCAGGTGGCTGTTGTGTTGTCAAGGTCAAGTTCATTCCTATACCTCTTTTGGTGTTCTCTATCCTGTCACCTCCCTTCTTCTTGGCTAAGTTAGTTTAATCTTCCCCATTGGCCAGAGTGTGGAAGTCCCCCAGCTCTGTCCTGGGCTGCCTTTCCCCTTTGCCTGCTCCCCCAAGTGAACTCATCGATTTTTCTGCTCAGCTTTGAGCTCTGCCCTGATCTCCCCCACTCCTTTGCCCTGAGCCCCAGTTATCTACACCTCAAACCTCCTCTCAGATGGAGACGTGATGTCTCCATCCCCACTGGGATTCTCTGGTTTGCTCCAATTTTCTCACTCTGGCTTCCCAGGGCCCATAGGCTCTGTGAACTTCATTTTCTTTCTTTCTTTCTTTTTTTATTGTTGGGCTGGGTGAGTGTACATTGTGGCATTTATAAAAGTTCTTACAATGTATCAAATATATCATACTTGAATTCACTCCCTCCACCATTCTACTGCATCCCCCTCCCCATTTGAGAAATAGTTTCAACAGGTCTCATTTTCCCATTTACACAAATGTGTTCACAGTGTTTGCACCATATCTACCCTCCTGTGCCCTTTCCCCACGTCCTCCCCCATCCACTGGTACCAACTTCTCCAGACAAAACCTATTCTGCCCTCCTGTTCTCCAATTTTGTAAGCGGAAACAAATTGGCCTTTTTTTGGTTTAAGATAGTTACACAGGGAGCTTCCTTGTGACACGTCCATGTATGTATGTATTCTATCTTGAATTCTAACTTCACTTCCTAAAGACGTCCCACTTCTCTCACTTCCTTATCCCCTCCCTGCCCTATTCCCTGCCTTTCCATTCACAGGTCCTTTTTCTGTTGTGAACATTGCCCCATCCTTTTTCTCACCCTCTCCCCTTGAGTCGGTGCCTCTCACAGTATCATCTGGAAAGTTTGTCCTGCATCCACAGCTGGCCCTGCCACTCCTCTGCTCAGAGGACTCCATGTACCACAGCCTTCACTCCAATTCATTGTATCTGAACACCCCCATGTCCCACCAGCAGATTTGATACTTGTGCAGTTTCATCCACCTGCTAGGCTGTCTCAGTGCTTCTGCACAACAGGTCGCCTCAGATGCCCTCCTGCCCTGTGTTCATGTCACGGACTTCCTTATGTCCACTCTCAGCCTCTTTCTCTCTGGCCTTTCTCAGCCTTTTTTTTTTCCTTGGTGGTATTGGGGATTGAACCCAGGGTCTTGCACTTGCTAGTGCTTTGCCCTTGAGCTACCCCCCCACCCCAGCCATCTCCCACCACTTTTAACTCCTAGGTTTAGATACATATGAGCACAGAGCAGATAGTCAGGGATCTCCTGCTTCTGTCTGAGTGGGAAGTGAGGGAGGGGAAGCCCCCAGCTCCATCCTCCTTCAACCAGTCTCTCTCACTCAGCCCTGCAGACCCTGAGTGGTGGTGTGTTGCTGCCTGTCCTGAAAGGCCAGGCCCTGTGTCTTGTCTGCATGGCTGACAGCAACCCCCTGCTTCACTGAGCTGGTTCAGGAACAGACAAGCCGTGGGTCCCTCCCAGGTGTTAGCACCTGGGGTCCTGGAGCTGCCCCATGTAAGGGCTGAAGATGATGGGGAATTCACCTGCTGGGCTCAGAACCCTTTGGGCTCCCAGTACCTTTCTGTGAGCCTTCTGTGCTGAGTGAGTACCAACACAGGAGCTGGGCAGCATCCTGGCCAGGTGTTTGGCATGGGACTGGGGCTAAGGCCTGGGGAAGGAAGATCTTCCCAGGAAGCCTCTCTTTCTGCCCATGTGCATCTGAGAGGCAGGAGGGCTCCTGGCCCCTCATCCTCACTCTGATCAGGGGATCTCTCATGGGAGCTGGCTGCCTCCTTACCTATGGCCTCACCTGGATCTACTACACCAGGTGAGTAGCCTGACGCTGTCCAGGGAGGCTCAGCCTGTCTCTCACACACATGCACACACAAAAACACACCTGGGTACTGGGCACTCTGCATTTGGAGATGGGTCTTATCCTGACCTTTGCCCTGGGAAGATGGGGCTCCCATAAATAGGCAAATGCTCTAGTTTTCAGGTCAAAGAGATGCCAGGGCAGTGTCTTGGTAAGATAGAAATATTAGGGAGGACATTTCCTTGGGTCCTGTTCACGGTCACTCTGCATTACACATGGGCTACTCTGTCCATCCGGACCACAGGTGGACACATCTGTTCCGGGACTCAGTGGTCCCTGTTCCCAGTGGCTATCTCCAATACCCTCCTTTCTGCACAGCATTTGAGAAGCTAAGATGTCACACTAGAGAGGTGACACAACAGATCGTGACTGTGTGTGTGAGAGCTGCAATATCCCCAGGTCCTACCGAGCCTCACAGCCTTGTGTTTGCTTCAGCTTCTTCCATCTCTTAGTCAGCTTTAACCAGGAAGTACACTGGGAGGAGACTCTGCAAAATGCAGTTCCAGCCTGGCTAAATTGGTGGATTATGAAAACTGTATGGATTTCTTTACCAAAGGCTTCAAATCACCATTTTAAAGTGATCCTTCTGGGGGATGGGGAGGGTGGCTCACATACGTAATCCCAGCCTCTCGGGAGGTGCATATTTGGATAATTGGGATTTGAGAGCAGTGATGCAAAAAGTTATGGAGACCCTATCTCAACCAAGAAGTTGGGTGTGGTGGTGTGTGCCTTTCATTCTAGCTATGGCAGGAAGCATAAATAGGAAGATGATGGTCCAGGCCAGGCTAAGCAAAACTGCAAGATCCTTGTCTCCAAAACAACCAAAGCAAAAAGGGCTGGAGGCATGGCTCAAGTGGTAGAGCACCTGCCTACCAAGCATGAGGCCCTTAGTTCAAATTCCAGTACTGCCAAAAAATAAAGAGATCCTTTCAATATAGTATGTAGAAAAATAAGTAAGCCTTTGATTTTACCTTTTCCCTGTTAGCTATGGTTTGTATGGACTGCTGCTCTGCATTGTTGCCTGTTAAACCACCAAAGCCTCATTTAATTATATCTTAGCAGGACCCTAGCTGCGTTTTTTCACAACTGGTTTTTCTCTGGGTTCTTTCAGGTGGCTTTTACCAGGGTCCAATGTCTGACCCATTGGTGTTTCTCTATACAGGCCCTGAGTTGCTTACAAAGAAGCCTAGGAATCCATGAAGCAGGGGCTGGAAGTTTCCAGATCCACTAAATATCTGAGATGAAGAAATCTCAGGAGATCTCAGACTCCATTATCTACTTGTCCAAGTGGCCATGGACTCAATTCATACTCAAGAGGAAGAAATAACAACAATAGTAACAATGATAAAATAACTCCCTCTTGCAATACAAGGAGTGCCATATTTGTACAGTGAATTTTTGAGGTTGTCTTTGGAGAATACTTCTTACAGTTGCTCACTCACCTATCTGAGTGACAGCTGCCTGGTTTGATTGACAGATCAATTGCCCATCTCGGTCAGGGACATTGGGAGGCTGAAATGAGAACACATATTTAGAGCGGGTAGCACAGAGCCTCTCTGCCTTCCCTGCCCTTGGAACAGAGACAACAACATAGCATCGTCTGTAGGACATTCCTGTGTGTGGACAGAAGGACAAGGAGGAGAAAACAGAGATAGTCCTGTCTTCTGAGTGCCACTTTGCGGTGGACATGGGGTCTTAGAGCGACCCTTTCAGTCTTCTTTTCTGTGTGATCAGGCTCTTCACAGAGCCAAAGTTGGAGCGCTATCTACGTCAGCACCCTGGACAGCACCACCACCCTGCCGGGGAACCCCAGAGCCTGGACAGATGGAGCGCCCCCTATGGGCATCCTGACCTCTGCAGAGTGGGGTTGGTCACACACACAACTGTGGCTGGCCAAGGATCTCCAGTCTAGTGCGAGAGTGAGAGGTGTTGGGAATTTGCTACCTAAGACTCCAGGAATTCCGTCTCAGGGCCACCTGTGGAATATCCATACCCTCATGATTACTTGAAAGTTGCCACCATGTCTGTTCATCCCCTTCTTCCCTGAGAGCTTACCTTCTACTCCAGAAGAGCAAGATCCACACCCCAACCTTGTCCATGCTTCCCCCGTCACAGCCACTTACCCTGCAACACTGGAATTGTCAAGTGCCTTGCCTGTCTCCCACTTAGGTGTTGCTGTCCTTCATGGAAGACAGATGTAACAATTCTTCTCCCCCAAATTGGCACAAGTATCTCCTGTCACAGTCCAATCAGTCCCCCTCAGATAAAGGTCAATGATGGGCTGGTAGAGTAGCTCAAGTGGTAGAGCTCCTGCCTAGCAAGACTGAGGCTCTGAGTTCAAACCCCAGTACTGACAAAAAAAAAGGGGGTGCTCCCTGTATTGACAATAGAGCATGAGACAGAGCGTCTGTGTGGTTTGGGCAATTCGAATATTGTCTTAGTTCAGGTTGCTCTAGCAAGATAACTTTATTTTTTGATGGTACTGGAGTTTGAAATCAGGGCTTTGCACTTGTGAAGAGAGCCACGGCTCCAGCCCTTTTTGCTCGGTTATTTTGGAGACTAGGGTGCTGCTTTTTTGCTCAGGCTGGCCTGGACTGCAATTTTCCTATTTTATGCTTTTCACCATAGCTGAGATGACAGGCACATGCCACTGTGCCCAGCTTGTTTCTGTTGAGATGGGGTCTCAGAAACTTCTTACCCAGGCTGACTTCAAACCACGATTCTCCTGACCTTACTCTCCCAAGTAGCTAGGATTATAGGCGAGCACCACCACACCAGGCCCTTGAGTCTTTTTTTCTTTTAAATAAAGGCACTAGTTCTATTGATGAGGGCTCTGCCCCATGACCTAATCACCTCCTGAAGGCTACTATCTCCTTTGACCATAACCTTAGAGGTTACAATTTCAACATACAAGTTTTTTGGAGGAACACAAACATTCACACTATAGCGCTTCCACTCTGAGCTTCTCTGTCTTCTGAAAATTGAGAAAGTGGAGCTAGAGGGCCCTTCAGCTCTCTTGTCCTCTGAGTCATAAGTTCAAGTTCCTTTTTTGTGTCTGCTTTTTTTTTTTTTTGGTGGTGCTCAGGTTTTGAACTTGCTAGGCAGGCACTCTACCACTTGAGCCATGCCCCCAACCTTTCTTTGTTTAGTTATTTTTTCAGGTAGAGTTTTTTGTTTTTGCCCAGGGCCAGCCTTGGACTATTATCCTCCTACCTCTGCTTCCTGAGTAGCTGGGATTACAGTTATGAACCACCACACCTGGTTTATTCTTTGAGACAGTCTCACTAACTTTTTTTTTGTTCAGGCTGGCCTTGAACCTTGATCCTCTTATCTCTGCCTCCTGCATAGCTGGGATTATGGGCATCTACCACCATGCCTGGCCCTCATTCTTCTGATGTTGCGATGACTTCTACTGAGAATGTTTGAGCAAGAATGGAGGCCCAGGTGCGTTTCATAATGAAATGCCAGCTGAAAATACAGGAAGTGATGATTGTGTGGGGTGTGGGAGGGAGGAGGATGGCCATGCATCCTTAAGCCTGGCCCCTTCCGTTGTTAACTCTCCTGGTCAGCTGTCTCTAACTCCTGGTTATGGGTAGTGGTTTTGGGGAGCTCCCACATGGGTTGGACAGATTCATGAAATTAAGTGGAAGAATAGCAGATTAATTTTCTACAAAGTCTTCAACCCTGTGCAAAGCCACAGTACTCAAGGGTGCATGTTCAAACGGCAGACTTGTGCAAAAAGACAATTAGCACTGAAGTGAAACTAGGGGCTTCTTCAGATTGGAGCAGGTGTGGTCACAGGAAAGGGGAGAAGGTCCTGGAGTGTCATTGTGGCCTCTTTCTTGGAGACTATTCATCTTGTCATAAATCACTGAGTTGGTCTTTTGGGGGCACATTTATCTACATTTCATGCTTCCCATCGAAAAAGGTTTCCAGAAAAACAGAAACTCCTCTAGTTTCCACTGAATGGTTAAAAATAGTTTTCTGTTGAATTTATGTGCATTGTTTCTTCTCACATGAAGCCCTGAACATGCCTGGGGGTGGGCAGCCCAAGGCTGGTGTTCCTTGCTCTGTGTCTCCTGTTCACCAGGACTCCTGGAGACAGACCCTAAATGAGCAAGGCAGAAGTTCATGTCCTGGGGAGAGAGGGAGAACAGCAGGGACGAAATCAGACAGGGGATGTGGCTCAGTGGCAGAGTGCTTGCCTAGGATGAGCAAGGTCTGGGGTTGCACCAGCACAAAAGCTGTCCTGGCAAGAGGACAGAAGAGGTTTTACCTCTTTCAAAACCTGCCTCTTTCTTTCACAACCTGCCTCCTCCCTCTGATTTCTTCCCTCTCAGAAACAAGGCAAGATGCTCACAGCCTTGGCCCCTCAGATCTCTGGTGAACTAGCCTCCCCTCTTTGACCTTGGTGTGTTTTAACACACAGAGTGCTCTCTTCTAGCACCCTCTTGTCTTCCAAGCTCAGTCCTGAGATAAAACTTCCAACCTGGTTCAGAGTAACCTTCTGCTCAGTCTATGCGTTCTGCACGGAGGGTCCTGCCATGGGCAGCTCCAGATGCAAAATGATCTATCGTGTCCCCACTGGATGGTGACTCCTGGGGGACAGTGTCCAGGTCTGCTGTGTTGTCTGTGCTGTGCAGTGAGGGTAAGCCCACCCCGTGGCTGTTGATGAAGGGAAGGCTGTTCACCCAAGCGGACCTCCTGGATTTTGAATTATGACTCCACCAATGACCACAGACAAGAAAATGTCACCCAAGGGGACAGGGATGCAGCAGATAGGGCCAGACCCTTCCAGGGGGATTTTGGGAGAGTCTCTCTCCCTCTCTGGCTTCAGGATCTCCAGGCATGGCCTAAGCTCCCAGGGCCAACAGTGCCTGTATCAGGAGTTCCTTCTCTGAGGCCACTGTCCTGACCTCCCCCTCTTCTGTGAGTTCTCCTCCAAGCCTTGCAACTCTTAGTTCCTCAAAGAAGAGCAGGGGGAACAGACGTTGAATGGCGTCCCTGCAGCTCAAGGCTAGGCTGCTGCCACCACTATTGCTGCTGCTCTGGAGGCGGGATGGGGTGGAGGGTGGGAGGGAGGCCAAGGCTCCCTTGGCCTCACCCTGCAGGTGCAGCGGATGGTGATTGTGCAGGAGGGTCTGTGTGTCCATGTGCCCTGTGACTTCTCCTATCCCTGGAAGGCTGGACTGACTCGGACCCAGTTTACGGCTACTGGTACCGGAAAGGGGCCATTACAAGGCAGGACATTCTGGTGGCCACAAATGACCCTAATAAACAAGTACAGGAGACAGCCAAGGGCCGATTCTACCTCCTTGGGAACCCCCAGGCCAACGACTGTTCCCTGGACATCAGAGATGCCAGGAAGAAGGACCAGGGGACATACTTCTTTCGGGTGGAGAGAGGAGATTTAAAAGGGAGTTATGCTTTGAACCAGCTGTTTGTGCAGATGGCAGGTAAGTCACAGCTCCAGGTAGGCCACAGGGGAAGGTCACTGAGGCTGCAGGGCAGGGCTGGGATGGGGAAGGATTGGGGTTCTAACATGAGGGGCTCATGGGAGGAGCAGGATCAGTGTCTCCTCTTCTCTCAGGATCACACATTGGACCCTCCCTCCTGACTCTGTGTCCCCCTCTCCTCACCAGCCCTGACACAACCCCCTCACATCCACATCCCAGGGCCCCTGGAGCCTGGCTGTCCCAGCAACCTGACCTGCTCTGTGCCCTGGGCCTGTGAGCGGGGGACGCCACCCATCTTCTCCTGGACAGGGGCCTCTGTGTCCTCCCTGAGCCCCAGGACCATCCACTCCTCAGTGCTCACTCTCATCCCCCGGCCCCAGGACCATGGCACCAACCTTACCTGCCAGGTGACCTTCCCTGGAGCTGGTATGACTAAGAAGATGACTGTTTATCTCAATGTGCCCTGTGAGTGTCCTAAGCTCTGATACCTGGGTCTCTGATGGGGAGGGGACCCTGAGAGCAGTGAGGATGGGGACCAGGACCTGGACACTGGGTACTGGGTCCTAGAATCCAGTGTGTGTGTGCAGCCTCCACTCCTCCATTTACACATGTCCTGGGGACAGACAGCTGATGTCCACTTAGCCTGACTGCTGATGGACCCACTATATCTTCCTGCCTCAGATTCTCCCCAGAACCTGACTGTGACCGTCAGCCGAGGAACTGACCCAGGTAGGGAGGAGCCTGCTGGGCTGAGGGACCAGGGTCTCTTCAGCCCAGGAAGGATGGGGTCTCTTTGCTCTAGACTCACTCTATTGCCAGAGACCCTTTGCTGAGGAACCAGTATCCCCTCCCCATCCTCAGCTCCTATCCACTTGAGCACCTGTCCCCATCCACCTCTCAGTCCCTCAGACTGCTGCAAACTGCCCTCACCCATCACTGGATCAGGATGACATTTGCACAGCAGAACTGGACCTTCCAGGCCTTTCTCACCCATCTGTGGGTCCACCTCCAAACTCCTCTGCTTCTCTCCCAGTGGCTGGGATCTAAGAGCTTGTGGAAGGAAACACGGTCACATGGGAAAATGCTCAGAACACGTGCACAGCAGTCTCTTCCCAGAAGCTCAGTCCCCTTCCCTGAAGTGACCAGTGTCCACAAAGGCTGCACTGAACCTTGGCTTGTCCACCTGAGGATCTGGGGTGGGGCACTGATATCAGTAAATGGAAGGGTCCTCAATTTCACGCTGCCCAGATGGACCCCGATTCTATGGGCATCTCCTGCCTGTGGACAGTCATGACTCTAATTTCATTCTACCAGAAAAATGTGCAGTGCACAGCCTTGAACCTACTTCCTCACGCGCGCGCGAGTGTGATCACCTCCTCCGGCACGATGTAGCTGGGTCACACGATCGTTCTAATTTTGAGTTATGGTCAAGTTGCCCTGCACTTAGGGTGAACTCATTGCTATTCCTGCTAGTGATGGGAGAAAGTGTGTGTTTCCTGTACTTCTGTCCGTGTCTGTGTGTCTGACCCACTCTCTGCACTCTAGTGTCCTTCTTTCTCATAATCTCTTTGCCATTCTGACCCACTGTCTCTTTCTCAATAGCATCCACAGCCCTGGGGAGTGACTCATCCCTTTTGGTTCTGGAAGGCCAATCTCTGCACCTGCTCCGTGCTGTGGACAGCCATCCTCTTGCCAGGCTGAGCTGGGCCTTAGATAAAGCGCGTTTGAGGAGACAAGGTCTTTGTTTTTCAGGGTCAGGACTAGGGTGAAACATTTTCCTTGAGCATAAAATTTAAGGAGAAGCAAAACTCAAAACCAAACCCCAAAATAGAACGGCCACCATGAAAACCAAAGCCAATCAATTCAGCAACTAAGTAAAATAATATTGTGATGTAAGAATTAAAAAATAAAATAAAAATGAGTCTGATTGTGGTGGCTCATACCTGCAATCCCAGCTACTAGGGAGGCAGAAGTAGGGAGGATCATAGTTCCAGGCAAGTCTGGGCAAAACAGTTAGTGAGACCCCATCTCAACCAACAAATGGATGTGGACATGCCTGTAATTCCAGCTGACATAGTAACATGGCAGAGGCTGGCCAAAGTAAAAATACCCAGACCTTATCTGAAAAATAACCAAAACAACAACAACAAAAAAGGCTGGGGGGTGTGGCTCATGTGGTAAGAGCACTTGCTTAGCAAGTGCCAGCCAGGTCCTGGGTTCAAACCTCAGTATCATAAAAAAGAAAAGATTGCAAAAACGAATTGCACAGAGCAAGGTGCTGTGCAAACAGAAGTGCAGAGTCAGTGTAAGAAGCTGGGGGAGGGAGGGATTCTCAGAGAAGAATCAACAAAACAGCTCCTCCCCACCCATCTGCAGGCAAAACTGGACCTCTGTCTTGGGTGACTCTGGGGGCCATCGGAGGTGCTGGTGCTGCTGCTCTGTTCTTTCTGTCTGTCTACATCATCCTCATCTCGTGAGCACTGGCAGTGGGAGAGAGAGAGGGAGAACCCCGGGATGTGGGGAGGACAAGCCCGGCACAGAAGCCCTGAGCCCATAGCTGGAAGGACCTGGATGGGCTGAGAGCTTGAAGCCATGGCTGGGGCCCCCACTGTCTCCAAGTGGGAAGTCACCTGCTTAGCACAGGAGCCTCCAGGACGGGGCCATCCTTTTGCCACCTTCCACTACTGTAATAGGAAGCAGGGGAGGGGGTGATCTGCCTGCTGCACCCTGTCCTGGCCAGGCTGAGGACTCCCTGGTGTCTTCATTCAGAGTTCAGTCCTGCAGGAGGAAGTCAGCGAGGCCCGCAGCAGACGTGGGGGATCCAAACACTGTCAGGGGCTCCACATCCAAGGTGAGTGGCAAGTGCCTGTGGCTACATCCTGCATCCTGCCTGGACACTTCCCCCGAGGTGGCCTCTGGGATTGCTCAGCACTCTGACTGCTGAATATGGCCCAGGTTGCTTTCTTGTCTTTCCTCCCACCTGGCCTCTCCAGCCCAGTCCCCATCTTGCTAGTGGTGGATAGTTCATTCCACCCTGCTTTCTCCCAGGCCAGGCACAGAGGAGGACTCAGAGTTCCCTCCCCTCCCCTCCTTTCCTCTCCCCTTCCCTTCCCCTTCTTTTTCCCTTCCCTTGGCAGGTGCTCTACCTCTCAAACAACACAACCAGCCCTTTCTGCTTTAGTTATTTTTTCAAACAGAGTCTCACAGTTTTGCCTGGACCTATTCATGCTTCCTGTGTAGCTGGAATGACAGGTGCACACTGCCACACCCAGCTTTTATTGGTTGCGATGGGCTCTGATAAACATTTTGCCAGGCTGAGTAGTTCTATTTGTGGGTATACATATCCAAAAGAATTGAAATGAGATTTTGAAAAGATATTTGCACATCTGTGTTCACTGTAGCATTTACAACAGCCAAGAGGTAGAAGAAAATATTCATCAACAGACAAATAAATAAAGAGAATGTGATGTCTATTCATACAGTGGAATATTACTCACCACGAATAGCCAAGGCAATACTCAGTCAAAAGAACAATGCTGGAGGTATCACGATACCTGACTTCAAACTATATTACAAAGCAATAACAACAAAAACAGCATGGTACTGGCACAAAAACAGACGTGAAGACCAGTGGAACAGAATAGAGGACCCAGATAGGAAGCCACACAACTATAACCAACTTGTCTTTGACAAATTAGCTAAAAATATATGATGGAGAAATAGCAGCCTCTTCAACAAAAACTGCTGGGAAAACTGGTTAGCAGTCTGCAAAAAACTGAAACTAGATCCATGTATATCACCCTATACCAAGATTAACTCAAAATGGATCAAGGATCTTAATATCAGACCACAAACTCTAAAGCTGATACAGGAAAGAGTAGGAAATACTCTGGAGTTAGTAGGTATAGGTAAGAACTTTCTCAACGAAACCCCAGCAGCACAGCAACTAAGAGATAGCATAGATAAATGGGACCTCATAAAACTAAAAAGCTTCTGTTCATCAAAAGAAATGGTCTCTAAACTGAAGAGAACACCCACAGAGTGGGAGAAAATATTTGCCAACTATACATCAGACAAAGGACTGATAACCAGAATATATAGGGAACTTAAAAAACTAAATTCTCCCAAAACTAATGAACCAATAAAGAAATGGGCAAGTGAACGAAACAGAACTTTCTCAAAAGAAGAAATTCAAATGGCCAAAAACACATGAAAAAATGCTCACCATCTCTAGCAATAAAGGAAATGCAAATTAAAACCACACTAAGATTCCACCTCACCCCTGTTAGAATAGCCATCATCAGCAACACCACCACCAACAGGTGTTGGTGAGGATGCAGGGAAAAAGGAACCCTCTTACACTGTTGGTGGAAATGTAAACTAGTACAACAACTCTGGAAAAAAATTTGGAAGTTCTTAAAAAGCTAGACATTGATCTACCATTTGATTCAGCAATACCACTCTTGGGGATATATCCAAAAGACTGTTACTCCAGAGGCACCTGCACATCCATGTTTATTGCAGCACTATTCACAATAGCCAAGTTATGGAAACAGCCAAGATGCCCCACCACCGACGAATGGATTAAGAAAATGTGGTATCTATACACAATGGAATTTTATGCAGCCATGAAGAAGAACGAAATGTTATCATTCGCTGGTAAATGGATGGAATTGGAGAACATCATTCTGAGTGAGGTTAGCCTGGCCCAAAAGACCAAACATCATATGTTCTCCCTCATATGTGGACATTAGATCAAGGGCAAACACAACAAGGGGACTGGACTTTGAGCACATGATAGAAGCGAGAGCACACAAGGGAGGGGTGAGGATAGGTAAGACACCTAAAAAATTAGCTAGCATTTGTTGCCCTTAACGCAGAGAAACTAAAGCAGATACCTTAAAAGCAACTGAGGCCAATAGGAAAAGGGGACCAGGAACTAGAGAAAAGGTTAGATCAAAAAGAATTAACCTAGAAGGTAACACACACACACAGGAAATCAATGTGAGTCAACTCCCTTTATAGCTATCCTTATCTCAACCAGCAAAAACCCTTGTTCCTTCCTATTATGGCTTATACTCTCTCTACAACAAAATTAGAGATAAGGGCAAAATAGTTTCTGCTGGGTATTGAGGGGGTGGGAGGAGAGGGAGGGGGTGGAGTGGGTGGTAAGGGAGGGGGTGGGGGCAGGGGGGAGAAATTACCCAAGCCTTGTATGCACATATGAATAAAAAAAGAAAAAAAAGATTGAGTTTTCTTTTGCTGTGAAGAATGACATTGGGATTTTGATGAGCGATTGCATTGAATCTGTAGATTGCTTTTGGAAGTGTATCCATTTTCACAATCCATGAACGTGGTTGGGGGGGTCTTTCCATCTTCTGGGAGGTCCTCCTTCTTCACAGTTTTATAGTTCTCATTGTGGAGGTCTTTTATCTTCTTAGTTAAGTTTACTTCAAGCATTTTTTTTTTGAGATTGTTGTTGTGAATGGGGTAGTTTTCCTGATTTCTTTCTCAGCCTGTTCCCTGTTGGTATACAGAAAAGATTCTGAATTTTGGAGGTGCTGGGGTTTGAACTGAAGACTTCAAGCTTGCCAGGCAGGCGCTCTATCACCTGAGCCATGCTTGCATTGAGAAAAGCTACAGATTATTCTGTGTTCATTTTGTATTCTGCTACTTTGCTGAAAGCATTTATTGGCTCGAAGAGTTTTGGGATGGATGAGTGGTTGAAGGAACTCCTGGGCTTCCACTGGACCTCTTTCTTTCCTGTCTCCATTGTCCTGCCCTGTCCTTTTCTACTCTCCACACAGGGTCCCCTGGTTGAATCCCAAGCCAAGGACAGCTCCCTGCACCAGGTTCCCTCGGAGGTGGCTGCCCCCTCCTCCCCAGAGAAAGAAGACATCATTATGCTGCCCTCAGGTTTCACAGGGTGACGTCCAGGGGTCTGCAGGACCAGCAGGCCATGAACAACAAGGACTCAGAAATAAATACCTGCAAGTGAGAAGCTGCACAGACTTGGCCCTGACCCAAGGGATCCTAGCCTCTGCAGGACAAAGGAGAAGTAAGAGCATGGTGGACCCTGTGAGAAAAAGCCAGTCTCCAATCCCCACCATTCTACCCTCTGCTTCCATGAGACTGACTTTCTCAGAATCCACAGATGGGTGAGGTCAGGCAGTATGTGTGTCTCTGTGCTGGCTCATGTCACTTAACTTCTTGTCCTCTAGGTTCATTCGTGTTGTTACCAATGACAGAACAATGTATGTTTCAAAACAGCTGAAAGAGCTGGGTGCTGTTGGCTCACACCTGTAATACTAGCTATGTGGGAGGCTGAGGTGGGAGGATGGAGGTGTGAAGCCAGTCAGGGCAAAATGTTCATGAGACCCCATCTCCCAAATAACCAGAGCAAAATGCACTGGAGGTGTGGCTTAAGCAGTAGAGTGTCTGCTTTGCAAGTGTGAAGCTCTGATTTCAAACCCCATCCTCCCCCAAAATAAAAGCTAAAAGAGAGTATTTTAAATGTTCTCATCACAAAGAAATGATAGCTATTTGAAGGCCAGGTATGGTGGTTCATGCTTGTAATCCCAGCACAAGGGAGGCTGAGGCAGGAAGATGGTGACTTTAAGGCTGGTCTGGGCTACATAGTGAGACCCTGTCCCCCAAAGCAACAAACACTTCCCTCCAAAAAAATCCAAAAAAGCATGTATTATGGGATAGCACAGGGTCTACTCAGAGACTCACACATATGCTGTTGTGAAGTCAGCTATTCCATGGACAAAGGAAAGACTTCTCAATTAATGCCGGCAGAACAAATGTGCCAAGGTTTGGACAAAAATGACCTTGACCTCTGACCACATCACACGCAAAACGCAGTCTGAGAGGAATCATAGCCAACCCTGAAAGTGAATCTCTAAAACTCCTGTAACTGTATGGTCCCATGCAGCCACCATGTCCACATGCGGCTGCTGAGCATCTGACCTGTACTACGTTTAATAATCAAAAAGTTATAAAAACTAATGATGTTAGCATGGGTTACATGTTGGTAACTGGGAATCCCAGTGACCCCTCACTGGGAGTTGTCAGAGCAGGTCACTCTGGGTGACCTCTTTCCAGTGTCCCAGTGCAAACACTGAATGAGAGTGCCAGCTGGCAGCCGCAGCTCTGTAATGGGGGCCCCAAGACTTGGCTGTGGAGGACACACGTGGGCAGGGACACGGTGAGAGACGTCCTCAAAGTGAATCCCAAAGTGGCAAAGATCCAGGTGTCCTGACCTCACAAGAACTCCCTAGCGGAGACTCTGTCCCTCAGCACAGAGCGGCTCATGTCCTGAACCAGTTCACAGAGCACCTTAGCCCAGGGTTCCAGGGTGAGGAGGCCAGCAAGGACAGGGACAGCCTTGTTCTGGAGTGACCATCACCTGGACATAAATGTCTACTGTTTATTTACTTCTTTTGGTGGGACTGGGATTTGAACTCAGGGCTTCCTGCTTGCAAAGCACGTGCTCTACTGTTTAAACCACATCTCCAGTCCATTTTGCTCTGGTTATTTTGGAGATGGGTTCTTGTGAACTATTTGCCTGGGCTGACTTTGAACCGCGATCCTCCTGATCTCAGCCTCCCAAGTAACCAGGATTACAGGCGTGAGCCATCACGCCCAGCACTGATGAGTACCTTTTATATCTGTATTGCACCATGAAACAGTGAGCCCCACTAAGCCTTGGGACCCTAAGGAGGAAGCCTGGATGCCTCAATCTCTCTCCTACCATCTCTGTGTCCTTATACCCTGCTGGCTCTTCCTCCAAGTCTGCCTCCCTCTGAAATGCCTCCCAAATCCGGGAAAGGACTCAGTGAACTGAGCCCTCACGCTTGCCTTCTATGCCATGCTTTTTGTGTGGCACCACCATTTTGGCTCCTGGACCCAAATGCAATTTTTGTCCACCATTTCCAGATCTGAGGAGAATAAAAAAAATAACACTTCTACCAAGAACAACTGGGATTTTCCCAGAAAGAAAATTGTTTTAGAGGTGGCCCCACAATGTGGTGTAGGAAGAGCACTGCGATCTTGTGAAAAGTGCTTGCCCTGTCCTGGACCTTGACTGCTGTGAGTCAGGGGTGAAAGCAAGCAGTTATGGGGGCATCCAGGTAGACTGAAAGACTCCAGGCATGATGGGGGGATGAAAGTCAAGGCAGGAAGTGAGTACCCACAAAGACAAAAATTATATACATATATATTCCACTGCTGGATGGCTGTGGGCTTTTTGAAGAAGGGTGGTGTGCATCAGGGAAGGGACAGAAAGTACATGTGGGGTGTTCTTTATGACCTAGAAGCAGCACAAACCATAAAGAATGTTTAGATTTTTGTCCACAGAAGATAGGCATTCACCTGGATGGATTTTCTGGTTGGAGGTTGTTTACCTGGTCAGATCTGATTCTTGTCTGGTGTCACCCCTCAGAAATCAGCTCCATTGTCACTGTCACAGCACCAGGGGATTTCCTAGCTCAAAATGTGGTCAGCTCTCTGCAGGGAGAGAAATTAATAATAAGCAGTAATTATAAAGTTTCTGCACAGCAAAAGAAACAACAGAGTGAAGACACAGCCTACAGAATGGCAGGGAGCCTTTGCCAAATGTTCACCCATCAGGGAATTAGTATCCAGAATACATAAAGAACTCAAAATTAAACAACAAAAGAGCAAACAATCCAATCAGCAAATGGGCAAGTCAGCTGAACAGGTAGTTCCTAAGAGAAGAAGAGCAAATGAAATGGCCAGTAACTACGTGAAAAATTGTTCAACGTCTTTATCCATCAGGAAATGCAAATCTAAATGACATTGAGGTTCCGTCTCACCCCAGTCAGAAACCAAAAATATAAATGTTGAGGATGTGAGGGAAAGGGGGCCCTTTGGTGCTGTTGGTGGAGATGTTAATTAGCACAACCCCTGTGGAAACAGTGTGGAGGTTCCTGAATAATTACAGACAGAACTGCCATATGATCCAACTGTGCCAGTCCTGGGTTTATACTCAAAGGAATCAAACTCAATGTGCAGTAGAGATCCCTGCTAACCCATGTTTCTTCAAGCACTGTTGACAACAACCAAGCAATGAGGTCAGCTCCAGTACCCATCAACAGATAAGTGGATAAAGAAAGTGTGGTATGTATATACAATGGAGTATTATTTAGCCATAAAGAAGAATGCAATTCGGTCACTTGCAATTTGCAGGAAAATGATGAGACTGGAGACCATGATGTTAAGTGAAAGAAGTCAGTCTCACAGAGACAATTATTGCATGCTTTCTATCTTATATGGAGCTTCTTTTGTGGGGGAAGGACATAAAAGTAAAAGGGGGGCTAATAGGGATATGGAAGGGGGAAAGGAGAAGGTGGGAGGGAGAAAAGAAAGGGTCATAGAGGAGAAAAACATGTTCAAAGCATATTATCTGTATGAATGAAAATGTCATAATGAAACCCAGTGCTTTGTACAATTAATATATGCTAATAAAATTGAAAAAATTATTATGGCTCTTAATAATTATGCATTCAGTATATTAATATCATCTATCATTATATTATCATACGTATAGATAATGGTCTTGGAGGCCAAGTGTGGTAGCATATACTTGTAATAATCCCAGCTACAAAGGAGGCAGAAATAGGAGGGTCGTGGTCTGAGGTCAGCCTCAAGAAAAAGCAAGACCTTATCTGAATGATTAAAGAAAAAGGGCTGGGGGCGTGGCTCAAGTGACAGAGTGCCTGCGCAGTAAGCTCGAGGCTGTGAGTTCAAACCTCAGCACTGTCCACAAGATAATCTTTATCATAACAAATGTGTACAGGATTGTAATGAATCATAGTTGGGTACTTTCCTAATTCCCCAGTTGTTTCTCTCCTTCCACTCACCTTGAGCCTGTGTGGTTTGCTAATGAGAGAGGAGTCAGAAGCCTTGGCAGAGTCAGTTAGGTTTTGGGGGACAGAACTGGGCTGCAGGAGAGGATGGAAGGATTTAGAGCTCTTCTGAGTTGTTAGTGGGAGAATCTGGGGACCCGGGAGGGATCAAGGCTGTTTTTCTGAGAATCAGCTGTCATGTGCATTGCAGGCTGTGCTAACTCCTGCTCATGTCGCCACATCACACCTGCATCCCAGACACAGGGAGCGGGGCGCGGAGGACCGTGAAGGCTCTTGGTGAAGGAAAGTCTCCCTTGTGGAATATGCTAACCCCCCAAGTCTGAAATCCCCACTCCTGTGCACAGACCTTCTAGAAACTCATGGATACTGCTGGGCATGGTGGTCCACAACTGCAATCCCAGCACTGGGGAGGATGAGACAGGAGGATTGTGAGTTCAAAGCCAGCCTGGGCTACACAGCAAAAACCTGTCTCAAGACAAAACAAAACCTAACAAATAAATGAAGTATATGTTATTTCATATGAAGGACATTTGAAGATTTTGGAATCTGCAGGTGGTCCTGGAAAGAATCCTCTAGAATGCCAAGGGACATCCATATGATAAATATATCTACTTATCTACTATCTATCTATCTATCTATCTATCTATCTATCTATCTATCTATCTATCTGCCTGTCTATCTATCATCTATCATCTATCTATGATCTATCAGTCTACTTATCCATATATCATCTATCTACACACCTATTATCTATCAATCATCTATTTATCTGTTATCATCTATCCATCTATCTATCTACCATTTATTTATCTATCATCTATTTATCTGTCTGTCTGTCTGTCTATCACCTATGCATGTTCTGCAGGTGTGAGCCACCACACCTGGCAGCATCTCCTTGCTTTAAACTAAGAAACAACACCATGTCCGCCAACCAGGACATTGTCTGTAGTGACTGGGCTGCCAGACGACATGACCATGTGTACTTCTCCAGCTCGGAAAGTACAAAGGCCACAGACAGGAAACTATTTGGAGTCTTGACTCTCATTTCCCTTGTGGAAAGCAGAAATATGTCTCCCTTTTCTATTTCTTCCTATTTTATTCCGTTATATGAAAATAAGCCCTTGCCCTTGTGAAACTTCGCTTCTTGAGACTTCTTGTAATCCTTTTCATTGCGGGTCACCAGTCCCTGTGGCTTTGTGTGGAAACTGGGAAGCTGAGGGACATCCTTGTCCCTCCTCCGGTGATACTGGTGCCTAGCTCCAGTCAGTTCCCAGCTCCAAAGCCATCACTTCCTGATTTCTGTCCCCAGAGATTACTTCTTCATGTCCCTTGAACTCTATAAAATTTGCACCATGTGGTAAGTATTCATGTTTCTGTTTTTCTCCCACTCAGCATTGTGTGTTTTGGGGATTTCCCCGTGCGTACGGCATGTGACAGCATTCTGTTCCTTTTTTATATTGCTGAGTAGGAGTGCATGGATTAAATTTATCATAAGTCATTTGCTTTTTTTCTGCTTGTGGATATTTGGTTTGTTTCATTTGGGGGCGTTATGAATACAGGTGCTATGAACATATTTATACAGGACTGTGTCCATTTGTTGGGACATCTTCATTTCTTTCAGGTATTGGGACATCTCTGGTTTCCAGAGATGGAAGCAATGGGGTCAGAGCCACATTTGGTGCTCCAGGGACTCTGGGAAGTTGCCATAGAGACCAGCAGGTTGTGGGGATCCAGCAGTTCAGGAGGGAGGTAGGAACTGGAACTGGACATTGGAGACACATTGGGGAGTCCAAGAATCCTGGTCAGCAGCACTTGCCACTGTGAGTTGAATCATCCCCCATTCCTATGAAGGTGACTTTATTTGGAAGTAGGGCCTTTGCAGATGTAATACAACTCATCCTGGATTTGGGTGATTCCTAAACCCAGTGTCTACTGTCCTTATGCCAGGAGAAGATTTGGACAGAGACACACATAAGGAAGATATCCCTGTGACAATGGCAGCAAGGGTTGTAGTTATGCTGACAGGAGCCCAGGAGTGCCAAGGATCGCTGACCACCACCAGAATCTACAAGAAACAAAGGAGAACTTTGTTAGAAAATTCACAGGAGCAGGCCACACCAACACCTTGCATTCAGACACGACCGAGAGGTCTTCATCAGTGGGACTTGGAGGCTGGCCTCACTAAGGGCTTGCCTCCTGCAGGCACTGCCGTATCTGCTTTGGGAACATTTACTCTTCTTTGACACAACAATCCTGTGTCGTGTCAAACATCCAAGAAGCTCCTAAGTACTGTGAGCACTGAGATTGCTAAGATGGCTGTCCATGTGTCCAAAGACTCTGTGACTAAGGAGTCTCTCCCTTCCTCCCTCCCCCTCTGTGTATCCACAATAGCTCTCCCTCCTCCCTTCCCTCTCCCTGTCTTTCTCCCCCTTTCTTTTTTTCTATTGCAACTGTGATTGTTTAAACATTTCTGGGGCACATTCATGAAGACAGCCCAGATAAAAGTACCAGACATGGTATTAGGGACTCTGAGATAACTGTTCATACTGCACCTTTTTATTTTCTGATTGTAAAAGCAGTTTATGCACTTTGTGAGAAAACAAAAACACTTTAGGACATACAGTAGAGTATAAAGAAAGAAATTAGATGTGGGATTTTAAAAAATATTTAAGGTGTTCTTCAATTTTTAAACTTGTATGTGTGCACAACACTGTAAAGTTTACAGCTATTACTGTCATTAATCTATACATTTTCATATTAATTAGTCTGTGCACTGTCATAAGTATGATCCTATGAGACGCAGCTTTGTGCTGTATGTCTCTAACTCAGAATACCAGCGTTTTCCCTATCAAAAAGCTTTTCTCCACCCCCACCCAGTGGTTTCTAACCATGACAGCGTAGCTCAATGTGTGCAGTGCATTTATGAGTTGCTTCATTTCCGGTCACTGACAGTGCTGAGATGGACATATTTGCAGCACCTCTCCTGATTCCATGGCTTTGGGAGAAGGAAATGCAGAAGTTGGAAGCTCAGGAGAGGACTAGAAGGCCATCTCTGCAATTAGAGTACTGAGCTCTGCCCACGACCTGCCCCAATCTGCATCCCATTGGTTGGCTCTGATTGGCAGCTGGAGGGGCCAATGGCTATGCTGCCCATGATGTCAGTTCCTCCCATAGGTTGCAGGTAGGGTCTGCAGACTTCTTTCAGGAGCCTCCATCTTCCAAGCCCAGTGAGACTGGAATGGTTCTTTCTCCTGACCACCCTTTCCTTTCTGGTCTCTGTCAGGACTCGGTTCTCTTTCACCACTCTTCTCTTACCTCCGTGTCTGTCTGGTACTGTCCTCCAAGATTTCAGTGGACACTTGAAACCCGACTTGTCCTATGGGAAAAAGTAACAAAAGTCACTTCTCCAGTTTGTAGGAAACTCATGCAACGAGGGAGAGTCCTGGATAAAGAGAGAGATTAAGGGTCCAACTTCCAATCAAGCCCCACCCCCACCCTGGGGACTTCACCTCTACACCAAGAGTCCTCAAGATTCCTGTCCTTTTTACTATTAATTTTTGAGATGGGGCCTCACTATGCATCCCAATGTGGTCTCAGACCCTTGATAAGTGCTGGGATTACAGGCATGTACTGCATGTCCAGCTCAATATTGATTTCCTTTCAAATCAGAAGAAAAATTGAAGATAACCTATTCTGGATTTTGCTCATCTTTATATCAAATACAGTTGAAATATATAATTTAAAAATACTTTTTATAGTGGAAGAGCACACTAAGGCAAAAGGCAACTCCAGTAAGAACCCATTACATAAGACAGAAGTGTCCCTGCTTTGAGGGAAAGGAGAAAGGAGCCTGGACCCCTGCCCATGTGTGTTCCCCACCTCACGCCAAACTCTGATGCTTACAGACACCCCTCTGAAGAATATTCTGGGTCTAGAAAGGTCTTTTCTCCAGAAGGATCTGCTCTAAGTCAGCCTTGAACCCTTCTCAGTTGAACGCTCTGAGACCTTGTGTCTTTTGAGACCTCTCTTACTATTGAACAAACAACCCTGCGTCTCTTACCTCTATGCTCTTCCAGGTTCCTGTGTCTTCCCTTACTCCACTCCTCCCCCTATGTCTTGCTCACTCTCTTAGTGTCTTTTGCAATCTCCTTTTCTGGATAGGAGAATTCTGGTTTCTGGATAGGGGAATTTTGTCTCCACCTTGGGCTCCCCTCTCTTTTCACATGACATACTTTCTCAGGGAGTTGGGGAGAAGAGGGATCATTCATGGTTTTTCTACTTTTCATTCTTAATTTTTTTACTCTTTAACAACATTTTATATAATTGGCCTTAGAACAATGCTATCTGACAGAAGTTTTTGCAATGACATAAATTTTCTATATCTGCCTTATTCAATGTGGTAGCTTCTGTCCATGTGTGGTGGTCTAGCACTTGAAATGTGGCTAGTGTGACTAAGGAACTGAATTTTTTACTTATTTAATTTTAATGCAGTTTAAATTTAAATGACCACATATGGCTAGTGTCTGCCATATTGGTTAATTCAGATCTACCCTGTAAGGTTTAAGTTAAATTTAACATTAAATGAAATCAGTATTAAAATCTTTTTTGATGTGCAATCTTTAAGTGAGGTAATCTTTCAAATGATTTTGATCTCTACGTTTACATTCCAAATGGGTTTTAATTTAGTTTAAGATTTTAAATTAAGGTTAGTTCGATGAAGAGGAATTTTAGTGTGAGTCTTGGGAACTGAGCTGCCACTGGGGCTGCTGGTCTCAGGTGAAGAAGACTGGCCTGAGTTGATGAGGGCTCCTTTTCCCTGTCTCAGGGGCTCAAGCAGATCCTTCTGCTGCCCTAACCCAAGTCTTAGCAGGAAGGATAGGATTCCTGACCCTGGGGTGATGATGGTGGTGATATGGTAATGATGGCACGGTGGCAATCGTGATGGCAACAGTGATGGTGTTGATGGTTACAATAGCGATGGTATGGTGGTGGTGGTGGTGGTGGTGGTGCTGGTGATGGTGGTGATGATGGTGGTGGTGGTGGTGATGGTGGTGGTGGTGATGGTGGTGGTGGTGGTGGTGATGGTGGTGATGGTGGTGGTGGTGGTGGTGGTGATGATGGTGGTGGTGGTGGTGGTGGTGATGGTGGTGGTGGTGGTGGTGGTGGTGGTGATGGTGCTCAGTTTCCTTTTGAGCACTGTGGTGTGACATGATGACCCAGCTGGACTCTTGGGCAAGAATTGCTTTTAGCTTGGAGGCTTGCCTGTCTCCCCAGAGCTCACAAGCAAACTTTGGCATTGTGTATCATCATAGTCATCACCAATACTACAATCAATACCATCATCATCATCATTAATATAATTTCCACCATCACATCACCAACATCACCATCACCATTGTCATCACCGTCACCACCATCACCACCACACTACCATCACCATCAGCACTAACATCACCAACACTGTCATCACCATCATCGTCACCATCATCACCATCACTACCATCACCATCATTATAATTACCACCACCATTATGTCACCAATATGACCACCATAACTAACATCAGCATAACCTCCACTGTCATCACCATCACCATCATCACCACTGCCATTGTCACAGTCACCATTGCCATCTTCACCATCACCACACCAATGTTACCACCATCAATCAATCTTACCATTACCAGCATCACCTTCATCACCAGAATCCCTGCTGTAGTTTGAATCTGGAATGTCTTCCAAACTCATGCATGTTAAAGGCTTGGTTTCCAGCCTGTGGCACTGTTGGGAAGTGGTGGAACCTTTAGGAGGTGAGACCTAGTGGGAACAATTTAAGTTATTGGGGGCCTACTTTTGGAGGGCTATCAGGACCTCCAGGCTCCTCCTCTTTCTCTGCTTCCCAGCCACTATGATATGCTGCCTTACCACAAATCCAAAGCAATGGGTCCAACTGACCATGGGCCTCCAAAACAAACCTTCCTTTTTGTAAGTTGGTTATCACAGGTGTTTTGTTACAGTAACATAAAACTGATTAATTCCATCATTGCCGTCTCCATCATCAGGACCATTACCACCATTATGACCATGCTACGTTTGTCACCATCACCACTACTGTATCACGGTATAACCCTCAACACCAAAATCACCATGGTCATTGTGGTCACCATCATCAACTCCATCACCCCAACTCCGCCATCACCATCATTCCAACACTAGCACCATCATTGCGATTTTCACACTTACTCCAGTGATTCTCAACCAGGGTGATTTTGTCCTTTACAGGAACTTGCAGAAATTTTTGGTTGTCTAAACTGGGGTATTGGTGGCTTTTACTACTGTAATCTAGTGAACAGAGACCAGGGGTTCTGCTCAACATCCTATTATGCACAGTACAGCCTTACTTCCTCACCCCAAGAGAGCTCTGTGTGTTGGTGTGGTTGAGAAGCTCTGGTCCTATGTGTTGAGAACACTGGTAAACCTTCATCCTCCAACAGGAGCCTCTAATCCCCCCACATTATTCTTCAGGGCAGGCGTTACCCTTCACATCTCCAGGTGGGGCAGAGGAAGCTCTCACAGAAGTGATCTGTCCAAAGCTACCCAGCCAATGAGTGGTAGAGCTTGGGTTTAGACCCAAACCTTAAGCATCTCCCTACTTGATCTCTTCCCACTGAGCTGATTTCTGATACCTGTTCCTCCAACTTCACTTGGCATCAGACTCATAGTGGACACTTGACATGCTTACCTCTCATTTTCATACCTGCCCCACTGGGTAGAGTGCAATATCCACATTTTAAATACAAGGAAACTAGGCTGAAGAGAATGGAAGTCACAGTTACATAGAGACATGGCTGACCCTATCCACTCCCTCCCACCAGTTTCTAGTCCTGGGGACCCACCTGTTTGCCCAAAAACCCAGTTCCTGGCTTGTCTCTCCCCCTCCAGCCTTGCCTTCTTTTCTGCAGGGAGTCCTGACACTTGAATCCCATCCCCCAGCAAACTCTCCCATAACTCAGAGAAGTGGTCACCTTTTGGAGTAAAATCTGATCAGGATGTAGATCAGGATTCCACAGAGGGAGACATTGCTCAGGACTGTAACTATGATGAGAAACACCACAATGGGTCCTGAGATGTAGAAACCACTGTGGACAACAGGTGAGGGTCCTGGAGAGAGAGGATAACTGGGAATCAGGATGCCACACCCGCCTTCCTTCATTCACTCATCCTTCCACTCACTTGCACACTGGTTCTTCAAGGATTTATCACCAACTACTGTGTGCAGAGCTCAGTTCCCACTAGAGAATCATCATTGAGCAAAACAAAGCCCTTGGCCTTCTGGACTGATGTTCCAGCTGCAAATTGTACAGTCGACAAGGAAAGAGATGTCTGATATCATAAGTACTCTAGAGAAGAATAAAGCTTCATAAAGAGATAGTGAGTGGCTCCAGGGCTGGGGTGTAGGTTACACACCACCATCTCACTGTACAAATACTCACTGAGCACCAACTATGTGCCAGGCACCATGTTAAGCACTGAGCTCAAACAATGAGCAAAACATTCACCAATCTCTGCCCCTGGAAGCTCATAGTCTAGTGGTATAGAAAGTCAAGAATCAGAGGGCCTCACAAATATGTTGTGCCTGGTGTATACAGAGCTCAGTAATTAGCATTCATCAATAGTGGGGCATCTTGGTTGTTTCTGTAACTTGGCTATTGTGAATAGTGCCACAATAAACATGGATGTGCAGGTGCCTCTGGAGTAATCTGTGTTGTATTTCTTTGGGTATATCCCCAGGAGTGGGATTGCTGGATCATATGACAGGTCTATGTTTAGATTTTTAAGAAATCTTGAGATTTTTTTCTAGAGTGGTTGTACCAGCTTACATTCCCACCAGCAGTGGATTAGGGTTCCTCTTTCCCCACATCCTCACCAACACATGTTGTTGTTGGTGTTTTTGATGATGGCTATTCTAACAGGGGTGAGGTGGAATCTTACTGTGGTTTTGATTTGCATTTCCTTTATGGCTAGAGATGGTGAGCACTTCTTCATGTGTTTTTTGGCCATTTGAATTCTTCTTTTGAGAAAGTTCTATTAAGTTCAGTTGCCCATTTTTTAATTGGTTCATTAATTTTAGGAGAGTTTAACTTCTTAAGTTCCCTGTATATTCTGGTTATCAGTCCCTTGTCTGATGTATAGCTGGCAAATATTTTCTCCCACTATGTGGGTGGTCTCTTCAGTTTAGAGACTATTTCTCTTGTTGTGCAGAAGCTTTTTAATTTTATGAAGACCCATTTGTCCATTCTTTCTCTTAGTTGCTGGGCTGCTGGGGTTGTATTGAGGAAGTCCTTGCCTATACCTGTTAGTTCCAGAGTGTTTCCTGCTCCTTCCTTTAATAACTTCAGAGTTTCAGGTCTGATGTTTAGGTCTTTGATCCATTTTGAGTTGACACTAGTACAGGATGATAGACATGGATCTAGTTTCAGTTTCTTGCAGATGGATAATCACTTTTCCCAGAAACATTTGGTGAAGAGGCTGTTTTTCTCCATCGTATATTTTTGGCACCTTTGTCAAAAATGAGGTGGGTATAATTGTGTGGATTCATATCTGGATCTTCTGTTCTGTTACACTGGTCTTCATGTCTGTTTTTATGCCAGTACAATGCTGTTTTTATTGCTATTGCTTTGCAATATAGCTTGAAGTTGGGTATTGTGATACCTCCAGCATTGCTTTTTTTTGCTGAGTATTGCCTTGGCTATTCGCAGTCTTTTGTGTTTCCAAATGAACTGTAGAGTAGATTTTTCTGTCTCTGTGGTGAAAGTCGTTGGGATTTTGATGGGAATTGCATTAAACATGTAGATTGCTTTCGGTAGTATAGCCATTTTAACTTTGTTGATTCTACTGATCCATGAGCATGGGAGATCTTTCCATCTACTGTAATTTAGTACAATAAAAGGAACACAAATAGGTAAAGAAACTGTCAAAATATCCTTATTTGCAGATGATATGATCCTATACCTTAAAGACCCAAAAAATTCCACCCAAAAACTCTTAGACACCATAAACAGCTACAGTAAGGTGGCAGGATACAAAATCAACCTACAAAAATCATTAGCTTTTCTATACACCAACAATGAACAAACTGAGAAGGAATATATGGAAACAATTCCATTCACAATAGCCCCCCCAAAGATCAAATACCGAGGAGTAAATTTAGCAAAAGATGTGAATGAACTCTACAAGGAGAATTACAAACTCCTGAAGAGAGAGATTGAGGAAGATTACAGTAGATGGAAAGATCTCTCATGCTCATGGATCATTAGAAACAAATTCTTAATTGATCCCCTACACAAGAGTTTCAAGCACTAATAATAGAATACTGACAAACTAGAGAAAAATCTCCATCCTTCTAGCAATTAAGGGACATAAATAATAAATAAACTGAATCTCTAAAATAAATGATACACTGTATGATGATAAAATGAGAAAATAGGCCAAACATGAAAACAAGGAGAAAAAGGAAGAGGGATGTCCATTAGGGTGTTCATTGAGATGCTTACATTTAAGCAAAGGCCCAATGGAGTGACAGTGGAAGTCATGAGAATATCTTAGGGGGGCATGTTCCCAAGAGAAGGAACGGCAAGTACAAAACCTCTTGAAGTAGGAATGACATTTGCCATATGGTCTTCATATCAGGTTGACTGATCCTTGAGGTCTGGAAACACACCATCAGTGAAAATAATAAACATTTATCAAGTGCTTCCTGAGTGGCAGGCAGTCAGTACTTTACATTTATTATCTCACTTAACCTTCATAACATTTTGAGATAAATATATTACATACCCAGTTTTACGTATGAAGAAACTAATACAAAGACTATCTGTGGAGCACCACAGACTCTCCACCTTTAGCCTCCCACCTTTAGTCTGTAGCTCCTTTTGCAGTACTGAGACACATTTACTGAGTGGAAACCTAAACTGTGATTTATAAGAATTGTGACAATAGTAAATCTAGTAGTCTGTTATAAGGATTGTGATGGTTGTTTTGGGGTGTCAACTTGATTAGAACAACAGATGCCTAGAAGAGTTAAGCATACTTTTGGGTGTGTCTTTGAGGCATTTTTCTAAGAAGATTGGCACATACGTAAGTAAACTGAGTGGGGAAGGCTGCCCTGAGTGTTGATGGCATCATCCAATAGGCTAGGAACCAAGATGAAACAAGAAGGCAAGGAGGGGGAAATACTTTTTCCCAAGCAGGTGCATTTTCTGCTGCTCTTCTTGGACATCAGAACCCAGGTTCTTTGGCCTTTAGACTCAAATTTGCACCAGCAGTCCCGGTAGGGGTATCTTAGGCTTTTGGCCTCAGACTGGAGGCTTCAATATTGGTATTACTCTTGGTCTGAGGCTTCTGGCTCCTTGGACAGAGCCACACTATCACTTTTCCTCACTCTCTACCTTGCAGTCAGTCATTCTTTGCTTATTTTCCAGAGCTGTAACTATTGACTATCTTAAACCACAAAAAATAATCATTGTTCTTATTTCGCTTCCAGAAATT